TGTCGTTTTATGTGGATGAAAAAGAAAAGAATATAGTGTGGGGATTGTGTGATGTGTCACTCTCTCAAATCTAAATTCATTGCTTCAAAGATCAAAACTACTCAAGAATCTTATTTACCAAGTTGTTGTGGTGGTCTCTAAGACCTACTCCCTAGCATCTCATTTCCAAAAATATTCCTTGATACAGAAAGAAAGAAACAAACATATATGCCTTTAGCGATTAAAGAGCTAGATATTTGTTTGGTTATCCGTTAGATTCTCAAGTCTCACCAAGCAGTTAGTTAAAGCAAACATTTTTGATAATTATTCAGTCCTCCTCCTTGAGAGGGTTTCAACTCATGTTATTCATGTTCATACAGAATTTGAAATTAAATTATTTTAAATTCTTTTTTATAGAAATTAAGAATGTCTAGACGGAAGTCTAACAAATCTTTTAAGAGATCGACGAGTAGTCTGGTTTCAGGATTGCACAAGGCCAGCTAAGAGAGGGACAAACAGTACGACCGCTTCGGGCCCAAATCCGTGTCCCCCCATATCTTATCAATTAAAGGGTCCAATATTTTTTATATTTACATATTTTTTTATAAAGTTTTAAAATATTCACTAAATTTAGTTGAAAAGGGACCCAAAAATATTTTATATGTATATAATGTATTTTCATCCTAAATTTTATAAAAATAAATGATAAAAATTAAAATATATTAAAAATTTTAATAAAAATAAATATTAAATATTAAAAAATTAATATTTTTGTTTTGCCCCGGGTCCTGGAAAAATGTTTAGCCGGCCCTAGGATTGCAATATGATGTCTAAGACTAATTTTCGAATTTGCTAAATAAAACCTAAAACATGATTTTATAGTCATCTTGCTAAACAATAGCAATTATATACTAGGAAGCAAATCTAGGACATGTATGTTTATGCCGTGGTCCAAACCTTACTAAGTTTATGTTCTTTTTCTTACAATATCATGGTGGACAACCAAACCAAATGTTTTCTTTGACAATTCAGGTCGCTTTACTAACTAAAATCATTGAACGTTGAGACTTTTATTGCTTTAATCCAAGTTACAAAGTACTATATTCTACTAACATTTGTATATTTTATTCATCTTCGTTCCACTTTTAAGAATATATATATTTTTTTTACTTTTATTTAACTTAGAATACAAAAATGTTATTTGCCGTCGCTTCTTCACTGTTTCTTTGACTCTCTTCATTCTTCAAGGACGAACCATTCATTAGAAAGTGCTTAAAAAGGTCAAAAGCATATTCAAAGGACCAAAACCCATTCACTCTCGTCCACCTGTCATTGCCACTATGGCAAAACCACGTTAGCATGATGGCCACGTGGATTCAGTTTTGTTCTGCGCACACCACGAGCCTCCCACACTCACGACGCGCGACGTCCGTCAGAGCACTAACGGCCATTCCCTTCTCCCTGCCTATCTCAGAACGGTAAGTTCTCACGGCGTGGGGATACGTGAAGCGTAAGGTCCCAGTCGAGTGCCAAAACGGGCCCCACACGAGACAAGCGTATAACTATAGAGAAATGAGTGTGTCAAACCTCTTACAACACGTTCGACTCACACGCGTGGAAAAATATGGTAAGCAGCCATTTACAACCTCCCAATAAGGTTTTTGAAAGATCGCCTTCCTTAATTTAATTTCTTTTTACCATATGTCCTAAATCCCATTATTTTTGGCAGCAAATTATTTATTTGAATTTGACCAGACTAGTAAAAGATTTATCCAGTTAAAGAAAAACGAAACAACCGTTTTATATTAGTGAGATATGTAGAAGTATTTTTTAAATTTAATTGAAATATCAACTTAAAATCCAATTATATAGTCTCACTCATATAATGCAGGAAAATTTGGAAAGAAATACAAATATATCTGTAATATAAATACTCTAATTATTAATTGATTGACAAAGATTTCACCAAGGGTATCCGTGAAGCCTAAAGAGTGACACGTGGATAAACTAACGTTATAGAAAGAAGGGACAAAACTGTTATTTCACTTCATCACACTTATTACCAGTCGTTCCATGTCTCTGTCCTTTTGGTTATATAAAGAAGACAGATGCACTTTGTCTGGTACCTCTGTAATAAGGAACAAAAAAAAAAAGAAAGACATGGACGACGCAGAGAAGGCTAACAACGATAACAATGGGCATCTCGACCACGAGCGTTGTCCAGTGGAGGAAGTGGCTCTCGTGGTCCCTGAGACCGACGACCCAACTCTACCGGTGATGACATTCAGAGCTTGGTTCTTGGGTCTGTCCTCCTGCATCCTCCTCATCTTTCTCAACACTTTCTTCACTTACCGCACGCAGCCACTCACCATCTCCGCAATTCTAATGCAAATCGCTGTCTTGCCCATCGGCAAGTTCATGGCTCGGACTCTTCCCACCACTTCCCACAAGTTAATGGGGTGGGAGTTTAGCCTCAATCCTGGTCCTTTCAACATCAAGGAGCATGTTATTATCACCATTTTCGCCAATTGTGGTGTTGCTTACGGTGGTGGTGATGCTTACTCCATTGGAGCCATCACTGTCATGAAGGCTTATTATAAGCAGAGCCTTAGCTTCATCTGTGGTCTCTTCATTGTCTTGACCACTCAGGTACCCCCTCTCTTTCATGATTTGTGGATATAATTGTAGATTTTTAATCAATGTTTTAAAATTCGGTCTAAGTGTTAAAAAAAAAAAGAAAAAAGAAAAAGTAAATCTGATCTGAACAAAATGATTTTTTTTTTTTTAAAACCTAACCCGCCTAAACTTGAATCCCCTATAAAGCGTCTAACCACAGCCTAGCGATTTCTTTTTGATGAATGGGGTTTGTGTAGATTTTGGGTTATGGCTGGGCTGGAATCTTGAGGAGGTATCTTGTTGATCCTGTTGACATGTGGTGGCCATCCAATCTTGCTCAAGTCTCTCTTTTCAGAGCATTGCACGAGAAGGAGCACAAGTCGAAAGGCTTGACGAGGATGCAGTTCTTTCTTGTGGCTCTTGGTGCTAGCTTTCTCTACTATGCGCTTCCAGGCTATCTATTCCCAATCTTGACTTTTTTCTCATGGGTGTGTTGGGCTTGGCCTAATAGCATCACTGCTCAGCAAGTTGGCTCAGGTTACCATGGTCTTGGTGTTGGAGCCTTCACTCTTGACTGGGCTGGTATCTCTGCTTACCATGGCAGTCCCTTGGTGGCTCCTTGGTCCTCTATCCTCAACGTTGGTGTTGGTTTCATCATGTTTATATACATCATAGTTCCTGTTTGTTACTGGAGGTTCAACACTTTCGATGCAAGAAAGTTTCCAATATTCTCCAACCAGCTGTTCACTTCAACTGGACAGAAGTACGACACAACCAAGATCTTGACTCCTCGGTTTGATCTTGACATTAATGCATATAACAATTACGGGAAGCTTTACCTCAGTCCTCTTTTCGCACTCTCTATTGGATCCGGTTTTGCAAGATTCACTGCAACTCTTACTCATGTAGCATTGTTCAATGGCAGGTTAGTTAGTTTGTTTGTTGCCTCTTCAATGTGAGAAAAGTGAATGTGAATCACTTTGGTGTGTTTTTTTTTGCGCAGGGACATATGGAGGCAGACTTGGTCTGCAGTGAAGACGGTGAAGCTTGACATCCATGGGAAACTGATGCAAAGATACAAACAAGTGCCAGAGTGGTGGTTTTATGTGTTGCTGGTTGGAAGTGTAGCATTGTCTCTCCTCATGTCTTTTGTGTGGAAGGAGTCAGTGCAGCTTCCATGGTGGGGAATGCTCTTTGCTTTTGCAATGGCCTTTATTGTCACTCTCCCTATTGGTGTCATTCAAGCAACTACAAATCAGGTTAGTTCTTACTACTTTCATATAAGATAAGGTCTCTAAAATACTCATATATATATTTTGTGGAAAAAAATGCAGCAACCGGGATATGATATAATAGGGCAGTTTATAATTGGTTATATCCTGCCTGGAAAACCTATTGCAAACCTGATTTTCAAGATTTATGGAAGAATCAGCACAGTTCATGCACTCTCCTTCTTAGCAGACCTTAAGCTTGGCCATTACATGAAAATCCCACCGCGGTGCATGTACACGGCTCAGCTTGTTGGCACTGTGGTTGCTGGTGTGGTGAACTTGGGAGTGGCCTGGTGGATGCTTGAAAGCATTCAAGACATATGTGACATTGAAGGAGAGCACCCTAATAGCCCCTGGACTTGTCCCAAGTACAGAGTGACTTTCGATGCTTCGGTTATTTGGGGACTGATAGGACCAAAGCGTCTGTTTGGAGCAGGAGGCATGTACCGTAACCTTGTCTGGCTCTTCCTCATCGGAGCTGTCTTGCCTGTTCCTGTGTGGGCGATGAGCAAGATCTTTCCGGACAAGAAGTGGATCCCTCTCATCAACATTCCTGTTATCTCCTACGGGTTTGCAGGGATGCCTCCAGCAACTCCAACCAACATCGCTAGCTGGCTGGTCACAGGAACCATCTTCAACTACTTTGTGTTCAATTACCACAAGAGATGGTGGCAGAAGTACAACTACGTGCTCTCTGCAGCGCTGGACGCAGGGACTGCATTCATGGGAGTGCTCTTGTTCTTCGCACTGCAGAATGCTGGACACGACCTTAAATGGTGGGGTACTGAAGTAGACCACTGTCCTCTTGCCTCCTGTCCAACAGCTCCTGGAATTAGAGCCAAAGGTTGTCCTGTTTTCTAAATTCAAGAGTATTAGATTCAAAACATGTATGCAACATGTTCTATTATTGCTTCTTTCTTTACAGCCTTTTCTACTGCTAGATAGTGGCCATCAGAATGCAATAAACTCTACTTTTTAGATTTAAAATTTGATATAACGAAGTACTAATAGCGTTGATGCTTTGCTTGTGTCATCTTTTGCCTTTTCACTTTGTTACATAAGTTGCAGAGAAGCATATGATTATTGATAATCTATCAAGAGTCACAGATGACTTTACTAAATTTGAAAGCCAAACAATAATAATTTGTGAAAGCATGAAAGCAACAAAACAAAACCGAAAAAGAGATTTGCTGGTTTTACAAGTGATGTCTGACTCCCTTTTCTTGTTTTCTAAATTATTATTCTAAGAAAAACAGAAGAGATGATAAAAGTCTTCAAATCAAATGATTACACTGACAGACACTTAAGAGAACAACACTGCATCTTCGTTATGTTGCTAAATCTTATTGACAACTTTAAAAGACAACAAAATTCGAGCTTATTGAGAAGGAAAATACTTTTTGCCTGTGATGATAAAACTCTTCTTCGTCGCATATCCTATTATAGCCTCACCCATTCTCCATGAGTTGAAACCCCAAATTAGATACTTACCAAATTTGGGAACTGGCATATATCATTCTTCTCTCACCTCTGCAGGGACTTGTAGAGCACAACAGTAACATACTTGGCCAGAAAACGGTGAGTTGAACCAAGAGCAACCACAGATGGACCGCTTTTGCCTTTCTGCATGTAGAGATGGTTGAGAATGACGTGCTGAGGTCTCGGCAAAGGAGATGGAATGTCAGGGCTGGCTGGAGGCAAGTTTAGCAGTGTCATCTGTAGGTGCGGTGGGACCAGTGGCGGTTCTTTGGAGTAGTCCTCAGCTCCTAGAAGCAAGCTGCTGTAACTAGCCTCTGGTGATTGCGGTGGCTCAAAACCAGATATGCTTTCAATGTCTTCTGGAACATAGTCCTGCACACCAAACACCAAAACCATATCTCCCTATCAGAAACTATAAAGATCTCCCTTTGCATTCCCTATACACCTCAATAGTCTCTCTCTCTCTCTGACTAAAGGCTTAGTTTCTCCAGTTACTAACTAACCCATTTGAGAAGTGATAAGGGAATACCTGGAGGTCTAAGAGGTTGTAAGTGTTGCCAGCATCATCACGAGCTAAAGGGAGCTCAGGGGCATGCCTCCACTGACCATCAACAATGAACCTGTACTCATAGACACCTGAAGGCAACACTTTCATTATAGTGAAGTCTTTCCCAGATCTCTGAAGCCGACTTCTGACACAAACACACACAACAATGAGAGAGATTTGGAAGAAAAATAAAAAACAGAAAAAGACTAAAAGTAAACACCTTGTCTTCCAATTATCCCAAGACCCTTCAACAGCAATCTCCTTGCCTCCATGGCACCAAGTGATCATGGTGGGGATACCTTGCTCGTTACAGGCCTCTTCGTAGGAAGGAGATTGCATCCACGAAGGGTTTGGGATGTGGATTTCATCTGGTCTTTGAAGAGGAAGCACCGGAACCTAAAAGAAAATAAACACACACAATTTTTTTTAAAAAAATTAAATTAAATTTTCAGATCTGTCATTTAGGGAAAGTGAATCTGGGGACCTGAGGAGCAAACATGAGAGGAGACTGAGTAGCGCGAGGGCTTTGAGGAGGAGATTGACCCATGAGCTCAGGATGAGGAGGTGCGGTGTCGCCGGACATGGGTTGTTGTTGACGAGACCCGTCTTCGAGCGGAGATGCGTTGTTGTTGTTGTTGTGGGTACTGTTGTTGGCTTCGTCTCTCGCGTTCACGTTGCCCATATCAAGAGAGAGAGAGAGAGAGGATACGGACAAAGAGAGGGTAATCTAATGCCTTTTGTGTGTGCGGACAGAACAGGACCGGGTTTAAAGGTTCGTGCTTTTTACGTAGAGATTGATCAAAGTGGGACGGAGTAATTGAGATAGATATATATATATAGAGAGAGAGGCCTTCCCTTTCCTTCCTGAGAGATCACAAACTTATTAAATAAAAACTTAAAAAGAAAGATAGCAAAAGGATTTTAATCTTTGATTTCAACTCACGGATTTATAAATGATCGAAACACATATTTTTGTTTGTTGTTGTTTTCTCATTCATCGATCAATTACTCCACTTACTTTTTCTCAATTCACTTTCCTCTAATGGGTTTTGCTTATTGCATTTATTATCCTTTAGTTTGATTTTTGGGTGCTATTTATCCCACATTTCAGCATATCAATTGTCCTGATTCTCACATCATTTGGTTGGTTACACTACCAATTGTTATATGTTTTTAGTTCCTTGTTATGCTTTCTATGTTTCAAGGGGGGAAACGAAATGTAAATTTTGAACCAATTTCACAATCAAAGTTTTTCTTTTTCTTTTGTGGTAATTTTGGCAAAGAGGCCCATTACCCTGGCTTGATATGCCAGCCAGGTAGCAACAAGGAGATCAAGCTTCTACTTTGGTTAGTGTGTAGTGTTTTCCACCACTCGCTAGTTTCTTTCACATTGATGATGGAACCCAAAAACATCCTAAGAGCACATCTAAATGTAGCTAAAATATACGTCTCAGGTATGGAGAGTGTCGTTAAAAAAAAAGTATGGAGAGTGCAAGTGGGATTTGTGATCGAATCAAATGATGCAAAGGGGTTTTTATTCAAATAATTTGGATAAATGGGCTATTTTTTCTAATTGCTTCCCCCATATGTTGCCCATGATAAAACTTCAGTTTATTGTAGCTGATGAGTGATAGGGTTAGTTTGAAATTATCATATTGTCCAATATATATATATATTTTTTTTTTTTAAATGCAATAAAAGAAAAAACAGAAACGAAAACCTATACTTTATTATAAAAACTGAAATTAGCATGACCTATGCTAAAATATGAAAAACCAGTCGGCCATGAATGAGTTTTCAAATTCTGTCTCATTAAGTTGTCAAAGACACTGCCACTCTGAAAATTGAATACTGACTAGTGACTATACACATGATCGCTCTGCTGTAGCGCCGCTGTCTCTGCCAACTCAAATCATCTCCGCGTGTAACAATAAAACTCCGTACCAGAAAATCACTAACAATGGAATACGGTTCTCCCATTAAACTCATGAAAAAGAAAAAAAAACTGTTAGACTACAATGCAATACCAAACGCCTACGATCACAACTGAATCAATGCAATGACATGAAGCCCTTTTAAAATGCAATCTAATAAAAACAGTTAAGCAAATATGTACCTCTCATCAACAAGCAGAGTGCTTCTTGAACCAATGCATCTAATCATAAAACAGATTCCACTGAAAAGATTTTCATTACTCACCAACATGTGTCAAAGCCAAGACTATGTTTCCTCACCTGCACAGCATCAAACTTTCACCCACATTACTAACAAGTCTAAAGTATGCTCTGACGAAATACACCCACACAAAGCAAAGAACCTGCATCAATGCAGTTCCTCTTCCACAAACTGCTTGTAAGTCTAAAGAAACCAGAAGATCACAATCCTAATCCAGTTTTTGAAATGTCCATCTTTACCTGCCAGCGTGAAAGTGATAGACCTGCAACTGTGGAATCGCAGATTTCTCCTTCAAAAACATAGGGAAAAGAGCTCACCAAAGTATGGCTGCTAGTATAAGCAAACCAGAACATAATATCACACTGGTATCTTTGACTCATTATATATGATACAGTAATAAAATTAAACGCTTTTTTCCCTTTGGTTTCTGGAATTGATATATGAATTGCAAGAAATGTATTCAGATACCTGAAGGAAAAATTTTGACTAATGGGGGTTAACACTAAGTCGTGAGCTCTATACAAAACTAAAAACAATCAGCATGAGTTGAAAAACATTTATCATCTGAGACCATCCGCTTCTTTGAAAAAGTTTCTTGATAAATGAGCAATGATATGTCGTTTATGCGAAGGGGCTTTGCCATCCTAGCAGATACCACCAACTCGATTACTATTGGCCATTACTCTCGATCACAATGGCCATCACGGTTTTGCAACTTTAGCCATCGCAATGTACTTGTCAACTTGTTTGTCCACAAAGTCACGAATCTGCATAAATATTAATCAAATGCAGTGACAATCAATTAGAAAATTGCTCTTAAACAGATGCAACTATTTAGTGATATTTACTATGATAGCCTGTAACCAAGATTATGCCTCGAAACAAAAAAAAAATATCGACATATCCGAAACGTTGGAAGCCTTTACAAACCTTGTTTTTCCGCTTTGAGTCAAGGAATTGCGGAACAGCCATGGCTTTCTCCGCATCTGTTGTTTGCTGCATTACCTGATAAAGCCCAAGAGTTTCAGAAGTCTTCTTCTAGACTCATAGAAAAAAAGAATTGCAATATACTAAAGAGTAGAAAATCACAAAGTCGCAAACCTTTGTTGCTGTCTTCTTCATTATTGACTTGTATACATCTCTATCAATTTTCTTTGCTTTATACGGGGCCATAAGCAACGATGCAACAAAATCTACAACCCCCTGTTTCAAACGATCTGCACTCCTGATATGATTTTTACGTGGCTCTTTATTCACTGTAACCTGTGACATGGAACATTCATTCGCTGGTTGGTCATGCTTCCAACTAGGAGGACCCGTCGAACATGCAATCGAACCTTCTTCATCCTTCATATGATTGAAAAATTCAGGATCAGCAGCAGCGGCTTGAGATTGCCATCTATCTATAGCATTGTAATCCTTGATACCATCGCTACTACCGCCAGTATCAACCCATGCCCCGGTAAAAACACTGGTTTCCGCCGCACCACTTTCTCCAGAACATTCTCTGAACTTTGAATGAGATCCAAGTTCATTCGAGTGGCTACGCTGCGAACAGTTATCTACCGGAACCCTTGAACTGTCAAGGTCAAGACAGGAGGCAGGAAAATCATACCAGTCCCGAACTTTGCAGTTCCTAGAGTCTATCTCTGACATACAATCTTGTCTTCCTAAGACGTTGGCTGGAAACTTTTTCTTGAAATCAGATTCGTCCATTTTTGCATACTGTTCTCGCCTGGCAAATTTATGAAAGGAGGGAATCTTAGGAAGCTGCAGTGAAGTAGTATGATAGGCCTCAGAATATGCCTGCAAGACAAAAATATATTTTTATTTGTTAGCAAATAAAGAGAAATAAACACTCCATCCTCAGAGAAAACAAACACATTCAGCAATCATCCATCAATTCATTTCATTAATTCGAAGATAAGAAAAACTTGCCTTTGCAGCTGCTTCAGCTGCTACACGAGCAGCCTCAGCTGCAGCGAACACAGCCTTTTCTTCCTCTGACATAGGTAGCTGGTTGTCCTCAATCTCTCCATCTGTTGTCACATCGTTTCCATTGCTCAGATTTCCCTTACTGTCTAAATCCTCATTATTCAGTTTTCTTCCTATTTTAAGATTTGTTCGTCTCAATGATTTCATTTCCCTATTAGCTTTTTCTTTCCGGTAAAGTTCCAACCACACATTAACAAGCTGACTTGCAATGGCACGGATATCACGGCTTGTGTGTGCACAAACCTTTTCTTTCACAGTCTTCCCAATGCCTGCATCAACAAGTGGAAAGTAAGCAACTTAGGGAAAATTTATAAATAACAGGGAAATAATCACAAACTGGTTGCATGTGATATGGATTCTTAAGACAAAACCAATTCCATGTGAGATATGAGACAAAAAGTGTACTTAAAAGAAACTAAGAAATACCTGAGAGCCTCACGGCAAAGAGATCACTCGTAACTCGAACAAGAATATGCACACAATGACGTAAAAGCTGGGTTCCATTCTTGCCCATCGAATCCTAATAGAGAAATATACATAAGCAAAAATTTATGGAGTTAACATAAAGCAACGAAAGTTGTTCTCTTTTCTTTGCTAAAGGAAAAATCTCACTAAGCTTACCAGGATCCAAGAGTTCAGCACTGCAAGCCCTTCTTTTGTACCTGCAAAAGATTTCAAGGTTTCACCAGGTAGGTTAAGCAACTCCTTGGCTAAATGCAAACGCCCAACAGTTGTTTTAGCAGAGAAGAACATGTTCCGAAGCAATGACTGTCTGGCCAGCACATTAGACAGCTCAACAACTTCAAGTCTCTTTATTAGGTCGCTGACTTCATCCCTTACAGATACTGATTTCCTCTGCGCCTTTTCTAGTGTTTCTATTTCGGCTGTGTAATCATTTCCACTTCTAAATATATCAATTATTCGCACAGCTTCCCGGACACCAGTCATCATTGCACCACCCACAGTGTCAGGATGCTCTTTGCATGTTGCCTCACCAGCAAAAAACACACAATTCTGAACAGGCCTTCCCAGTACATCATAATCTTCACCAGAAGCACCAATAGCAACATATGAGTAGGCCCCATAACTGTAAGGATCAGTGCCCCAGTCAGTAACTACCGAAGCAACAGGATCAGGCACCAGATCTCCACCAAAAAGCTTCCGAAGAACCATCATTGCATGATTAACATGCTCAGACTTACTCTTGTCTTTATACTCAACCGCAGCCTTCCCAACCACCAAAGCTATCAGAACAGGAGCACCAACAGCTTTTTTGACATTCCAAAACATAAAGCACTCTCCTCTTTGATCTGTTTCCTCAGCAGTTGCCCCAAAATAATCCAAGCTATCATCCCAAAATACCTTCGGGAACTCCAACACAACTTTATTTAGAACTCCAAAACCAAGTTGTTTGATTGACGAATATTTCCAATCCGGTAAGGGTGGCGAAAACTTAATGGTTTCTGCTTTCAAGCACCCAAGAGGAACAGTAACCAGAACAGCATCTCCAAGATACTCAAAACCATTTGATGTACTTACGCTGACTTTATGCTTGCTGTTATGCATGGCGGATACATCAGAGGTATAAGATACCTCCGAAACTACATTGTCCAAGCGAATGTCAAGTCCT